AATTAAGTTGGGATATGCTTTGGGTATTATTGGCATTTTCACAATATTCCATGAACATGGAATATTCTTCAATTTTTGTAATTCTCTTTTGGTTCCTTATAATAGTTATGTAGTTTTCTTTGAGGAGGTCTTTTGTTTTGATGGTTAAGTTTATTTCTAAATATTTTATCTTTTTATGGCTATTTTAAATGGTCATTATGAACGATGACCCAACAGAATGCTCAAATTATAGAATAATATCATTGATATAAGATGCCTGTAAATTTTTTCTGAAGATTATCCAACAATGGTTACAGCAGTACATTGACAAGGGAATGCAAGAGGCTTTCCCCCATCTCAAATAATACTGTACAACTTTCTGAATAATGTAAGAATCTTATAGCAGTGTAGTTTTAATTCTCCACAGCCCATACTTCTATTAGGTAAATAGCCCTTTAAAGAAATTAAGTGTATATATTTTATATGTTTATTCATGTTAGCATATGTTAGTAAATTACATTTAGTATATAACATGGTATGTGACATTATAGATATACATGACATATAATCTATGTACGTTATCTCCCGATTCTTATTCACTCACACATTTAACAATTCTTTGGAAAGTTTAGAATTTTTTTCTAGATTTCTTTTTCAACAAATCCACTCTAATACAGCTTTCCCATGTCTGTTCCTTGGAATGGAAGTAAGGGACCAGTCACGTTGTTGTTGTTGTGAGGTGCCACAGAGCCCATTCCGACTCATCGTCACCCTCTGTGCAGCAGAAGGAAGCACCACCGAGGCCTGGGCCACCCTCACAATTGTTGTGATGTGTGAGCCCATTGGTGTAGCCACTTGTTCAATCCATCTTGTAGAGGGCTTTCTTCATTTTGCTGCACGTCTACTTTACCAAGCATGATGTCCTTCTCCAGAACTGATATCTCCCGACCACATGTACAAAGCAATGCGAATTCTTGCCATCATTGCCTCTAAAAAGCATTTTAGTATTTTTCTTCCAAGATAGATTTCTTTGTTCTTTTGATGGTCCATGGTGCTTTGAGAGTTTCAAGGATTAGTTATAAATATTAAATATTAGAAGTAGCCTCAGGTTAGTCCCTGGTAGACTGACAGGCATAAAACAGATAAAAAGAGGCTATCTTACGTCACAAATGATGTCACCCATGGTCACCAACTCAAATCACTTGACCTTTATCTTCTAGTTATGAAAACCAAAAATAAATTTGGTTTACTTACAAAAAGATTTACAAGAAAATATTTCCTCAACCCTAATCTTTGTCATGATGACAAAAAATTGTCTTTCAATTATTCTGTTCTCTCATGTCCAAGATTGAAAGACAGTAACATATTCATGCAATGAAGCTAAATGCTTACTGAAATCTGAATGGTGATTACTAGCATATAGGCCATGTATAAACCATGTATATGTGATGGAATGTATATGCCTTAAAATTAGTCAATTACCAAAATGACTA